GTCCACCGACTATGGGTTCAAGGACGACCAGGGTTGCAAGTTGTTTATTGGCAGTGGTTGTATAAACTGCTGTATGTGTCAATTTAGAAAGTGACTGAAGGTCAGATATAAAATTGGGGAAGAAACATTTTGAAATTTTAAAAGGTAGCTCCCTGCTCGAAGATGGACAGTATTGCCAAACGTTTACAACTTAATAGCCAGACTTTGATGACGTGACAATTCATTTTAAGGCAATCAGCATGGCAAGGAATCATGTTAAAAGGCATCTATCATTACATAATCGATCATCATAGTCTTGAAATGTTGAATTTGGTTGGCCTTTTCTATTGCTCTGTCTTTTAAATGTTGTATTATGCTCCTTATTTTACTTCAATTTGCCATGTAAGAAAATTGTATATCCTCTATGTTGACTGTACAGAAATTAGAATCTATATTGAATGTCTTGTTTTGTTCAGGATTTTATCAAGCCTCTTCATGTCATCAGTCATTCTGTACTATGAACAGAACAAGAATACCTTGCCCTTTCCACTAAGCTTTTAGTTTCCTCCCCACAGTGCTGCTAGTCTGTGGGTTGAAAATTTGATCAGTACACTAGTTTTCTTGTGAAAATTAGAATCTGATTCAGTAGGTCAGTAGCCATCTTACACTGTAGTAAACAGTAATGCAAGCTTTAAGATTGTAACCTTGGTGCATCTGTGAAGAACAGTGTCACATTTGCTGTATGTTGTTGTACAATTCTGATGCTGTAAAATGTTCTAGCAGGTTGTGACAAAACCAAATGCATCTAAAACAGCTTTGATTCTATAACATCACAGCTGAATTTTGTAGGGCACTTGCCTGACTGTATATGACCCAAGAATGCCCGCACTCTGTGTTCGTACAACATACGTACCTAAAGCAGACCCTAAAGCTGCACACTGCTGACTCCTGATGTAAATATGACCAAGACCTGACTTTAACCTTCTCCTTGCCGAGATAGTCATTTGGCGTCAAACACAAGGTAAGGGGTTTTAAGACTAAAAGCAGTCACTGACATCTTATTTAGCCCGGGCAAACTGGTAACATTTAGCCAGAAGGGCCATCTCGGGGGGAGAATTTCTCCCATCTGTGATGCTTTTACTCCTGGTTGCAAGGCAATTTTGCGGCTTTCAACACACCCAGGATAATTCTTGACTCACATCCAGAAACTGGACGAGACAATTGAGGCAGCAATGTCTATCATAGCCTTAGAAGGAATGAAAACTACACTGTCTAGTATTTGTTTCTGACTAACTTTGGTTTGTATTTCAAGAGCCCTCAAGCTACTTAAGGCTATGCAGTATTTTGCTCTTCATTTTTCCATGAATATACTATGACAACTATTGTGTCGATGTTGTGTGGTTAATATCAATTTGCTTGTCCCATCCTTAATATCAGTTCAAATTGGCCACTCAGATGTACAATGTAAAGTGCAGGATAATGTCCTATTCATCCTTGTCCCATCATGAAAAGGAGTTTTATCTACAATGAGTTCCTGTCATTTTGGAAGAGCCATAAATCTGTAAGTTTCTAATGAGAAATGCTGGATAAATGACTCATCAAACCATCAGAAAGGGGGATGGCGAGGGACAGTTACCTGATACATAATTTGTCTCGAAGTTCTTGCATCCTCCTAGTTAGGATGCAGTTATATTCGCTGTCACAGTAGGCTGTTGTACAATTTTCATGTTGTAGCAATTCAAGCGGATTGTGACAGAACCAACCACCAAAAACAATCAAAGACTACCATTATTTCGTAAAAAGACAGCTGAATTTTGTTTGACACGTGCCTGACTATCCGGAATTCTGTCAGTTTGCGATCATACGTCAGTCATTCGACTAAATGTGACTGTGACTTTAAGGTCTCTGTCCTTTCCTAATGTGGAAAAGAGAGAATTTTGTGTTTCTTTGGTTTCTTTCTTTTTTTTACAATATCACAAAGTCAGATCTTAATGTTAGCATCCAAAGATAATACTTTGTACACCTTTGGTAATATTGCCATTACAAACTTAAATACTAATATTTCATAACAATATTATCTAGGAAATGTTGTCAGGTAACCTTGTTTTAAACTTGTCAGAGTCACCAAAAGCAGTGGGTGATATTTTCTTCGGCTATTGTATGACCTTTCCCAACAAATTGAGGTGACTGGCAATTTGCCTTGGGTACTGCTTTCTACTGGCCACTCTGCTTCATAATTTGTTAAAAATCAATAAAGTTTGACACTACCTAAAGACACAAGCATCCAACTGTGCTACTCATTAAATGCCATTGGGATATTACAACACCTGAAAAGGTGTGATATACAAAATGTAGAATTTGGGAAAAATTTACCAGCCGCGTGAGGCATATTAACTTGTCATTATAGCCTTCATCTCGCTAGGTATGAAAAAGATATTCATTAAGTAAGTCAGTAAGTATTTGTAATTATAGCTCATTTTCAGGCAGAACGGAAGGTTGGAGTAACATTACATATACAGCTTATTTACGTACTTACCTTGTCTATGTCGAATATGAGAAGAATTGTGACTTCACTGAACTATTTTGCATTGAAATGTAGATTTTTACCACATCAAGATACACCTAATAATGCTTCCACACTGTCATATAGCACATTGAAATCTTAGTACCAATGTGCATTACCAAGAAGTCGGGGCATATGGGACTTCCGCTTAATTGATTTATATCTTCCTAAGTATATTTTGTCCGAACATGACCTCTTCCCTCATGATGTCGATGAAAAGCAGCCATCAGGCTGATTTGAATATTTCATGAATAAACGAAGGCTCAAACAAACAAATAAGCAAGGTACTAAGTCTGATGATTAGCCACAGCAGCAGAAGTCTTGAAGAATACCCTTTACATTAGAATTGTTCAGGTATGTTGTATGAAGAAATTCTTCTATCTGGCCAGTTGAAAAGACACAAAAGTTTTTGATAGAAACTTGGCGTTTTGACTGTTATAATGGATGGGTCGATGAGTGGACCGACTCTGATTGTAGCCGCGCAGACCCCAGATGGCCAATCAATACCATAATCAGTCGCTGTGCCAACTGTGCAGATGGGATCAGCACGAAGCAGTTTACGTGGCGCAGCGCTCGATTCCTGAGGTCACCTAGCCTGGTACCCTTCCCTCGTTACTGACACTACAGATAAGCTGCAAGCCAATTGTGCAGTTGTGCTGTTTGTTTCAATCAAAGCATGAAGTAAAGCCATACATTATTCATTATTAAGAGGTACGGAGCAGTTGAGAAAGTCCCTTAGGTTGGAACTTCCTGTGAGTAGGCGTGTGAAAAATGGGCTACTTGGAATCCTTCTCGTACAATTGTAGTTCTCATGGGTCTTCCTATTAGGCTCTTCAAAAGTCATCATGCCGTATATATTGTGCAGTGAAATCTCTCTACAACAAGAAATAATTGTGCTGACTTAAGAAGTTGATGAATAAAAATTAGGCCAAAGATGATATTGATAAGATGTAGTTTTCATCATCAATTTTAGATTAAAGATACATGCTTCAAGTGTCACTATGTTTTCTATAGCATATTAATCTTCAGTTCAAAAAATGAATAAAAACTGTGTCTTATGTAGATTATGACAGTGATATGCCTTAATTATATTATAATCTGGGTATGGTACAGCTCAGAGGATCATTCCAGTATTGAAAGTGTTATTTCCCATGTGAAATCTGGCTAATTTGCCGTAGTCGGGATGATGAATTATGCCTGTACAATCTAGAAGACGTATAGGGTTCATTTTGCTGTTAATGAGTTATGGCTATTGTATAATACAGTAGGTGCTGAAAATTGTATCTAAGATCCATTTGATTCAATTTTTCATGCCATACTTGAAACAATCTTTGGGAAGAATAACTGCAGATATAAGTTTTCAATGTTTTACCATTTGTTACTGGATCACCCTTAATTCTTGGATATCCTTGGAGACCCATGCCTATGCATATCCAATCATTTGTTAATGGATTAAGCAGATAATTAACACCATCATCTTCTATCATGATATTTGACATTTGTGGGTAGGCCTTTCGTGTTGTGTCCTTGTGGCCTTTTGTGTCAAGCCTCAATGCCCAAAGAAAGTATCTGACCTTGTGACATCTTCTGGACTTTCATCTTTATCAGTTGCTGCAAGGGTTATTTGAAAACTAGTTGATAAAAAAAATGTGATTGAACTATAATCAAAACATTTTAAGGGGTACTACATGGTGACTCTACTTGGAGCCTTTCATTGCCTTGAGCAAAGATATGTCTTGCACTGAACATGGAGGTAGATTTGAACTCTTCATGCACTGAATTACTCCAGGACCTAAATAACATAATGTAAAATCCATTTTGCAAATCCTGCAACTTTACTTCCAGCAAATACCCCACCCAAACCACAGCCTTTAGATAGATTTATGATTATGAATAGTTTTGGTCATGCGAATTACAAATCAATATCATTGACAGATGGTAGTGCATTAGCCAGTCATTCTGGTTATTCATTCCAACGTCTTTTGGGTCAAACTGTTATGATCCTACCCCAGGTAGATGTAAACTTTACTTGACATCCCACAGCCTTCAATGCCTGTAAGAGAATTCCATAACATGGACCACTGCAGCTATAGTCCACTGTGCACATCTGTGTTGTAGAATTAGCGCCCAGTGATTACATTGAATAATTTATGATACCCTTTTGGGTGCATGCTTTCATATGAATTTTGAATGAAGACGGGCCAATCTCTTTTGCCAGGTTTAATTTTCCACCCATCTGAATCTCCATGTTTGATTAAACTGCAAAGCTTATTCCGGAGGGAGCAGGTCTTTCTGTCTATGTGGCGTGTTTGCAACGACTGTGATTACAGCGCCCTTTAATTTTGATGAATTATGCTGCAATTTCGTTAAGACGATGGCATATTCCATAACAAACCATCAGAACATTTCACACGCCACTGAGTTATTGACCCGATTATTGACCTTCTCTCCGCTGCAGGGGGCGAGGTCGGAGTGAAGAGGAAGGTGCTACCCACAATCCCTTGCAACCATGGCAGCCTTTTTGGCTAAACAGATGTTGGGAGATCAAATGAAAGGTAAGAAGTGCACCTTGTTGTGCACTATCTCACTGACATTCTCAGCACCAGCTTACAAACTCATACTTATAATACATGACTGCAACCAAAATAATTTTGTGATAATATTTAAAACGAAAACAACATTTTCATCTATTTGTCATTCCATCCTTGGAGTTATCCCTGTTATTCCCACCATGGTCCTTACCTCCACCTGCATATTGTGCCATCCTCATGTTGAGGGTTGGGGACAGTCAGTCATTTCCAGCTCAAGCTTCCTCCATCCTTCTTGTCCTGTCCTGTCCTTAGTCCTCTGCATACAATTATACAATCTGTCAATGACCTGCCAGTCCAGACCTTGATGTCATCTCCTCATCTAATCTGACTCTATACTTACTAAACTAAGTTTCAATGTAAGCAATATATCAGTGATGCTGCATAGGAATACGATCATTTGACGAAATATACTCTGTCTCACCAATTGTTTGACCCCTTTTAACTTGGTCTGTAGATGCAAAGTTGGGCACTGCTTTGGCATCATGCCAAAACACTTGCTGATCAGCAAGGTGTGAAATGAGGGATCTACAGGTTAATACTGTGCTTATTCCCATGTAATCACAGCAAGGCAGTAATAGAGAGACACTTAGAATCAAATGACAACAAAGGAAAGACTGGAATATAAGCGACTCCCTGCTCCACAGCAAATTATGTTTCAGTGTTGTATTGTAAATTTGACCAGTGTAACGTCTACAAACATAATTCCGCATGGTCTCATATGTCCGCCACCCCAAAAGAATGTATCTAAACAGATCCCAAATGCAACATTCGCCTGCTTCATTTCTTTCTGATTTGCAAAAAAGACAGGATTCGGGTTCTGAATCAGCTCCAAAATGTTCATAATTATTATTTTGATCCAAGCAGTTGAAGAAAGCTCCTTGCCTTCCTAGTTGTTACAGTTCATCTAACTATCAAATTATACATTGGTTTGATAAAAAGGTTAAAATCCATTGTTTGAACTATAATCAAGCCTGGTATTTTGACCTTAAACCTATCATAGCTTTTCGGGCTATCAAAGGATGCCTTGGTCTGCTTTTATTTTTATGTTTTTTATCTGTCGCTTCATATTTTTTCTGAAAAAATCGGATAACCAACAAATCAACTAGGTGTGGCCTTATGTTTGCTTTAAACTTTATTATACACTTGAGGATGAGTCTTGAAGATGAATTTTGGAATTTTTTGTTAGTATGATTTGTATTATTTAGTAGCATCCCTAAAGTATTTGTACAACGTTGACAGAACTGTGGTTTATCACACAACTGTTTCATGTGCATACTACGACATTCCAGACTACTTTCCCTAATTGGGAGACATCAGTCACTTCCTTCTTTCATCCTGGATTAACATTTGTCAGATGTGAAAATGCAGTTTCCAAGAGTGCATGCCGCTGATACTGACATCTCCCATTCAGGGCTGCTTTATCAAACGCAACAAGAAATGAGCTATCTCTTTGTCACATCATAAATGATTGTGCTTATAATAAGGCATGGTCACAGACATTGTACGATTTTGATGGCGCAGAATTTTCAAGCAGCCTGTGCCATGATAGAACCAACTGCCAACAAGGATCTAAGACTGTTTTCGGAAACAAGACAGCTGAATTTTGTATGAGACATACATAATCATCAAAGAATGCCCTCGGTTTACGATCATCAAAGATTGCGGAATGTATGTGACTTGGCCTTTACACAGCCTTTACAAAACATCAAAAGCTCCCTGTACATACATATTCTAGGTAACGAACTCATCCATTAGATGATTAGAGCAGTCCTACCTCCCATGCATTGCGAGATTGAAACTCAACTTTCCAAGTAAAACCAGTTTATCTGGGTGAAGGTTGAGCCATGCTGCTCAAGACTGAAGATAAAAAGCCTGATAACCTGCCAACCTGTAAGATCTCATGCAGCTGTTGGAATGCAGGATCATGAAACTGGCTTAGAGCTGGCTGGTGGCCACCTGTGACAGAGACTTCTAATGGATTGAAGGATTAAGCTTCCTCAGCTGCCTTTCATCCTCTTTCTTTATTTACATTGAATATAGAACGCAACCAAAGACACACTGTCTTCTTTCCTGTTGCTGCAAACTTTTTCATTAGAACTTCTAAGTTGTGCAACCTTGGGACTAGAATGATGACTCACACACTTTTTGACTTTGACTTTGTTGCCAGTTGATGTATGCTTACTTCTCCAAAGTCCCCTGGAGGTATGACTTCTTGCATGGTATATACAAGATTAGAAATGGTCAGAATTGATTTCACAAAATGATGTACAGTTATTGGCTTGGGTTGCTGCTCCGTCCATGTATCTTGTGCCTTATTCATTCATCTTTCTAGGATCTTTCAGCATCATAAAACTCAGAGAGCATTGCAGTGGCATGCAGGGGTCTAGTGGTTAGATTGCAAAGTGGGGGTTAGGTGACCTAGGGTCAGTTCTGAACCCTGATAGGCATGCCACTGCAAGGAAGTGCAGTCCTTGAATGTGGTAAGCTGTCAATCAGCATCCAAGGAGAAATTTACAACAGTTACCAATTTCTTGGACACTGTAGATGGAAGTGTACTTTTGTGTAGCTGTAAGGTTAGTGAATAAAAACACGCTTTTGCTTGTAAAAACAGGTCTTTTGCTTGTGGTCAGACGTTTAAGTTGAAAATTGCTAGACCGTAATATGGGTACCTTGAAAGCCAGGAAAAATGGCAAGCTTTTACCTAGGTATGCCTTTCTAGTCATTAAAAAAATTGCTGCCTACGCAAAGTGCTGTATACGCACAAGGCACAACTTTGGACCAGTGTTTAATGGGCCAAAACTTCCCCAGTGTCCCAAAGACTGAGCTTAAAGACGAACAGACTTAAAGCCTTCAGGACCTGCAAGATGATAGGCACTGGCGTGGTCAAGAACTGTAACCTCCAGTCTGCATATCAGTACAAAACCACCTGTAACTCCCCAATCCCCCAGGATTCCTTGTGCTTACAGTGTAGAAGCTGGCACCATTTATTCCGAGTCAAAAAGACCCCTGGGACATCTGTCTGAGTTGAGGATGAGTGGGATGTGACTTGAAACGTGGCATCTCTTCATGGAATGTATTTTATATGGGGAGAGAGAACTCTTCCATAAGAAGTGGCGTCTTACATATGGCTGTGGTTTGCCACAGATGTTACTGAAATGCTCCACACAATATTAGTATCCTTGAGTAGGCATCGTTAACGTTACTATGCTTGCTTTGCTCTCAACATCAACCTCCACACTGACGGCAGTGACCACGCATATCTGAACATCACATGTTGGCAGCAAAGTAAAGAGTAATCGTTGGCTCGAGGGTGATGATAAGGATGAGACGTAACCTAAGTTGTCAGAGCTGATGCTATGCTTCAGGGAAGACTGGCATGTGATTTCTGTCTAGTGCAGTCTAAATGTAGTTTGACATGCATGGTATGAAAGTAAGAGGCGATCTGTAAATGTTACAGTAGTGCTGACATAGTACTGGGTACTGGAACAGAACTTGGACTGATTAAAGGAGGTGCATGCTGCATTTCATGGTTTACAGAGAATGGAAAATGTGTTTAAGAAAACTCTTGGTGTCAGTGGCAATGTTCTTCTCCATGTTTTTGATTCTATCGACTCTTAAACTATAGTACCTAGTTGTATGCTCCCTGTGATATTTCTACTTCTAGCACTGAACCATGAAAACAGTCTGTGATAACAGTTTTCCAATTATCAAACTTTGTACTTGTCACATAGGAAAGCTTTCTGAAAGCCCCATGTTGAGAAAAGATGTGGGTTACACAATAGCATTCAAAGTCACAGAGAATGGATAATTTGTTTTAATATTCAGATTTTTTAAGGCATAACTTAATGATATATCAATTAAAGTACACTATTATACTAATAGCATTCTTAACTGATAAAATATCTCCAATACGCTACAGAAATAGCTTGAATTAAATAGATCCCTTATTAGCTCAATAAAATGAAAAGGTGATGCTTGAAGGATTATATGGACCTCTGAAATGGAAAACACGACCCATGATATCGACAACGGGGGAACAAATGGGACAATTTCCCTGCTGACGGCCCTCTTTTCCCCTCTTATCTGCGCAGAGCTGACCTCAGGCAGCTTAGCTCCGTGGAGAGTGGTGCTAAAGTGACAGAGTTTTATTAATTAATCACTAGGGAGAATGGTGTTTTCGTGATTACCAGAGGATAAAGCCTTTTCACAACCAGTGACAGACAATCTCATTTCAAGAAGAAGCTGCAATGCAATCCCCGTAATACACTATCTTGAACACCATGCATAACATTTCAAGTCTATTCGTTGTGAAATAGCCTAAGGCTTAAATGTAATCATAAGTATTGATGACTCATTGCTTATGCCTTACAAAGATGACATCTATTCTATCTTTCTCAGAAATCATGCTGATTCCACAAAACTCCATTGATATATTGCTTCTACCGAAGGCACCCTAAAGGCTAGCTACAGCACACCGCTGTATATTATTTGTCTTGTTCAAAAAATGTTTTGGAATACTGTACCTTGTAAAGATTTGGCCTGACATCTGTGTATAAAATGTATATCTAACTTTTGTGCATGTATTTTAAACATGGCAACAGGAAGAAGTTGCATAGTCATCCCCTCTTAGTCTTGGCTCATGCAATTTTTCTTAGACTATTAAATTGGAGATTAATAACTTCTAAGGTAACTAGTCACTGCTTTAGAAATCAGGATCATGTCTAGTCGTTTCCTTGATTAATATTGATGATTAAAATGTGAAAAACATTGCTTCCCCAGCTGAAGATGCCTCACAAAGACCTGTGAATGTCACTGACTTTTACTGCAACTCCAGCGCTAGGCAGCAGGAAATTGGATCTTGTGGAAGGACAGATTTGCATAATGGTTTCTAAAACAGTCGGTTTGAGAAGTTAATGACTGGCTTACATTTGGAAATAATGTGACGTGATAATTTCATGATTCAG